CGGAGGAGGGGCAGGTTGTGTATTCTTTTGAAGTTCTTTAATCTGCTGGATCTGTTCTTCGATTTGTTGACGTCTCTGCTTTTCTTTGTCCTGATCTGATATATTTTCTCTCTTTAGAGATTCACCGTCCGGTTTATCTTCAGCCGAAGACGATGAGTCCACTTCAGATTTTTCACTTTTCTGTTCAGTACTTGACGAAGAATTGCTCTTATCATTCGTTTCTTCGCCAACGGAAACACTCCCCTGTTCGGTGTTGATTACTTCTGCTGTCCCATGATCATCAACACCTTTAGTTAGCTCATCCGTAGACACACTCTTTACTTCACTCTTTTTGTCGCCCACTATCTCTTTTTCTGAATGCTCCGAAGTATCAGAATCCTTTTTAGACACATCAATGTCACTCTCTGTTTCAACATCAGGCTTAGAGCTATCGCTTACTCCATCAGCATGTTTACCCCTCTCAGAAATTTCGCTTATTTGCTTTTTTGCCAGGTCATTAAAGACTTGCTCTATGTCAAGTTTGTTATGGGTATGGTCCGAAAAACCAGTGCTCCAAGAGGCACTAAAAGCACTACAGCTCTGAGGCGTTGTAGCTTGGGGCTCATTATCAGCTGTTTCTGTGTCCTTTTCAGTGGGTGCCAGCTCCTCATGATCCGTCCTTGTAAGTTCCTTTTTTAGACTTTCTTCGTGACGCTCGTGTTCTGCCAGTTTCTGCTCCATCTCAGCCAGCTTTGTCTGCTGCTGTAACATCTGCTGAAAAAGCTGTGTGAGGTGGCCTTGATCAGACTCGTGATGCTGTTGGTGTTGCTGTTGGCGCAGGAGCTCCTGTTGCTGTAAGATAAGCTGCTGCTGTTGCAGAAGCATCTGAGTCTGCAGCTGCTGCATTTGCTGTTGCTGGTTCAACTGCGCTTGAGCTACTGATACCGAGTAACTAGTAGCATAGGCTGAAGAAGGTGGCAGGCTGGTAGGGCTGGGCCTGACCCCTTGAACCAAAGGACGTGTCACGGATACTGCACTATAGCTATAAGGTGGGTTTCCCGCAGCTGGTGAGGAAGGAGGTTTAGTTACAATCCCAGTGTACGGAGGGTATGATCCAACAGGACCTCTAGTTTGCCCTTGGTACTGTCTGTCTTTACCATAATCAGCAGAATTTTGTCGTGCAATAACTGGTGAATATGCTGCCTGGTTTGGAGGTGGAGGTCGTTGAACACCAGCAGATGGGGCCCATCCCTGATCTACGGGTCTCTGCTCGTAAGGCAGTGACTTCTGAGGACTAAGCATTTGGTTTCCTCCTAAGCGCTGTGGTTCTTTTGAATCTTGACGTGAGAACTGATTGCCATGGGAAGCTCCAGTTGAAGGCAAAGGCTGTGACGCTTGGGGGTACCCCCAACCCTGGAGCGAGGAAGGCGGAGCGGGTTGTAAACTTCCTGGATGCTGAGATGGGAATCCTTCCTGAGGAGGTTTTGACGAAGGGGTATCAGCCTGAGAACGTTTTTTCTCAGGTAGCATTGGATACCCTAACTGTGATGAAGTATTGCTGGTCTGTGATGG